TTTGCGATCATGGCCAGTGTCATTGGGGAGAAGACTCCTGAGCATTGCTCAGCTCTCTTTTGCTACCTGGATGCCATTAGCGAGGCTAACAGGGTTTACGGTGGGACCGCATGGCTTCGATACGACGAGCAGTTTCGGCAGAGGCGGGCTGTTCGCCCTTCATTGCGTTGGGACCATAAGGACATAGGCCTTTGGATGCGCCTCATGACTCCCGTGCGGGCTCCCGGTTCGTTTTTTTTTCAGGGTGGGGTCGGTGGTTCATTCTCCCCTGGACAATCGGCCTCAAAGCGTAGGGGTGTATGTTGGCAGTTCCAAGAGGGCGCGTGTCGTTTCGGGGGGTCCTGCCGTTTCAAACATGAGTGTTCAGGTTGCGGCGGCTCCCATCCTTTGTCGCGCTGTTTCAAGCGGGGTAGAGGCCTGCCCGGAGAGCATGCGAGTAAGAGGGACAACTCCGGTGAAAGTGGAAAGGATGCGGCCTTTCCTAAATAGATATCCGGATCGAGCAGCCGCCGGGTTGCTGTTGGCGGGGTTTTCGGAGGGTTTTCGTATTCCGTGTAGTTTGACTTCGATCCCCCCTTTAGCTCGCAACTTACGGTCGGCGGTGCAGCATGCTGAGGTGGTTTCGGCAAAGTTGAGTAAGGAAGTGGGGCTGGGACGTATGGGCGGGCCGTTTTCTTGCGCTCCGTTTTCAGATCTGGTGGTTTCACCCTTGGGGGTGGTGCCCAAGAAGGAGCCGAATTCGTTCAGGTTGATTCATCACCTGTCTTTCCCCAAAGGGGGGTCGGTTAATGACGCCATCGATCCGCAGTCCTGTTCGGTGTCTTACACATCGTTTGATGCGGCAGTTTTCTGGGTTCGTCGTTATGGGCGCGGTTCGCTTATGGCGAAGTCAGATATTGAGTCCGCATTTCGCTTGTTGCCGGTACATCCCGGATAGTTTTCGTTTTCTGGGGTGCCATTGGCAGGGCTCGTTTTACGTTGACAAGTGCCTTCCCATGGGGTGTTCGATCTCTTGCGCTTTGTTTGAGCGGTTCAGTTCGTTCTTGGAGTGGGTGGTGCGGGATGTCTCCGGGATAAATTCGGTCATCCATTATTTGGATGATTTTCTTTGCGTGGGTCCGCCCGCTTCCAGGGTTTGCGCGGTTTTGTTGGCTACGTTGCAACACGTTGCTGACCGTTTCGGGATTCCATTGGCTTTGGACAAGACTGAGGGCCCAGCTTCAGTGATGACTTTTCTGGGCATCGTTTTGGATTCGGATGCCATGGAGTGCCGGCTGCCAGGGGACAAATTGTTAGCCCTACAAGGGGAAATTCGTGGGGTGGTGGGCAAGCGAAAAATTCAGCTACGAGCCTTGCAGTCGTTGCTGGGTAAGCTGAACTTCGCTTGTCGTATTCTGCCGATGGGGCGAGTATTTTTGCCGACGGCTGGCGGCGGCGACGGCGGGTATTATTTCCCCTTTGCATTTCATTCGTTTAACTAGGGAACATCGGGAGGACTTGAGGATTTGGCATACCTTTTTGGATGACTTTAACGGACGGGCGCTGTGGATGTCGGGACCAGTCAGTAATTTTGACCTAGAATTGTTCACGGATGCGGCGGCTTCCGGGGGATATGGGGCCTTTTTTTAAGGGGCGGTGGAGTGCGGCTCCGTGGCCTTCTTCTTGGGCTGCGGCGGGTTTCCTTAGTAACCTGGTGCTGTTGGAATTTTTTCCGGTGGTATTAGCGGTTGAGGTTTGGGGTGAACATTTTAGGAATCAGAAGGTTCGTTTTCATTGTGACAACTTGGGGGTGGTCCAGGTCATCAACCGGGTCTCGGCTTCCTCGCAACCAGTGGTTGGCTTGCTTCGCCATTTAGTGTTGCGTTGCCTGCAGCTGAACGTTTTTCTCCATGCTGTGCATCTCCCTGGGGTTGATAACATCTTGGCTGACGCTTTGTCTCGTTTTCAGTGGGACAAATTCCGAGAGTTGGCGCCGGCGGCGGAGCAACACGGGGTTCCTTGTCCCGACTGGCTGTGGGAGATTGCCTTGGGGTCGTTGCAGGTTGGATCCGGAGGTCGGTGAGTGAGGCGACATGGTCGGCATACTCGAAGGTCTGGCGAGAGTGGCGGGATTTGTTACAACAGATCGAGATAGATCCGTGGGGCCCGGAGGTAGGGGTGGCGGTTTTGTATTATTTGGCAAGGAACTTGGAACGGGGGTGTCGGCTGCTGCGGTGGATAGGCGGTTGGCTGGCTTGGCCTTCCTCTTTAAGCTTCAAGGGTGTCGGGACTTCACGAAGGAATTTTGGGTGCGACAGGCTCTTCGGGGTTACCGTAGGGCTTGTCGCAGTAGGGATTCTCGTCGTCCGGTGTCCTTCGAGTTGTTAGGATCGTTGTTTGAACATCTGCGCTGTGTTTGCTTTTCAGACTTTGAGGTGTGTTTATTTCGGGCGGCCTTTGCAGTGGCTTTCTTTGGGGCATTGCGTGTTGGGGAGCTTGTCAGTCCGTCCAAATCCGTTCTTGGGGGTTTGTTGGGGGATGATGTCAGGGTCTCTGGTGATTGGGTGGAGGTGTGTTCGTCCGTCGGTCCAAGACGGACCAATTGGGTCGTGGTGCGCGGGTAAAGTTTTTTGCCCTTCCTACATCCTTAGTGTGCCCGGTGCGGGCGGTTCGTGATTTTTTGTCCCGTCGTCCGGTGGGGAGTGGCTCTTTTTTCATGCATGAGGATGGGTCCCCGTTGACTCGTTTTCAATTTGTGTCGGTTTTTTCGACGCTGTTTGACGGTTGTGGGTTTGGATGCATCTTTGTATGCTTCTCACACTCATTTCGGATTGGGGCGGCTACTGAGGCTGCTCGGTGGGGTTTGTCAGATGCGGCGGTGAAACGTATTGGTAGATGGGATTCCCAGAGGTTTCGCTTGTACATTCGACCGCATCTGTTGGGTTGATTAAGGTTGGATCCCGGGTTGGTGTCCCTGGGTTGGGGGGAGTTTGTTCTGTCTCTGTGCCGTTTTGTTTTTTTTGTTTGGTTTTGTTTTTGGTGGTAGTTCTTGCTATTTTATTTCAGATGGAGCGGTGCGCCTGGTGTGGATCCTGGGGCACTCCTACGTTTTTTTGGGGGGCCAGGCGGGCGGATGTGAGGCCTAATGGGCGACAGTTGGGATTGCCTAGACAGGAGGCTTGTGTGCGATGGATTGGTGTGCCGGGGATGTTGTGGGGTCGTGTGGTGCCTGAAGTTCGGCGTTTTTCTAGTCTGGATAGGCCACCGGATGTTCTGGTGTTGCATGCGGGGGGTAATGATCTGGGAGTTCGATCCATGCGGGAGTTGGTGAGGGACGTTAAGATGGACTTTCTGCTATTGCGGAGGGATTATCCGGACATGGTGTTGGTATGGTCGGATATGGTGGCCCGCGCCTCTTGGCGTTTGGCACGGTCGGTGGAGCGGCTTTAATAAAGCGCGCGGATAAAGGTCAACAAGGAGGTGGGGCGCTTTTTTATTCGGAATGGGGGGGGTTGGTGGTCCGGCATTTGGAGTTGGAGGTGGATACCTGGCGGTATTTGCGGAATGATGGGGTACATCTTAACGCAGTTGGGACGGATTTGTGGTCTCTGGGTTTACAGGATGGTGTGCAGAGAGCAGTCCGTTTGTGGTGGGGCACGCATGGGTAAGGGCTTACCCAGCGTGTTGTGGCGGTTTGTTGGTCTTTGGAGGCGGGTATTATCTGGAAGGTACAGAGAATGGTGTGGGACCCATCGGTGGTATGGTGTGCCCGGGGAACATTCCAGTTAACCAAGGTTTAACTGGAATGTGGTGGTGCTGCACTGCGGACGGTAAGGTTGTCTCCGAGCTGGGTGGTTGCGGCTGGAGGCCGGTTGGTATATGGGGTCCGCAGGTGCATTTTGGATAATTTTGTGGATGGGGCCTTCGAAGACCAACAACAAATTGGTATGTTTCTGTATAAGGAATTGGTTTGGTGTTTAAAATTGTGTGGTTAATAATAAAAGGCCATGTTGGCCATTTACTCCAAATCGGTGTCATGTTTTATTTAAATAAGAGTTATAGGTAAGGGGATCTGGAGGAACCGATCTCTGGTGCACTAGTCATGTGCCACTTAATGCATTCCTTTAGAAGTATTTCAATGGGTTGAAAAGGTTAGATACACGCATAGCTTATATAACGGTCTCTTTTGGAACCGATTCCCTCATTCCTCCTCTGTTGTTTCATTTTTGGTCTGATATATAAAAATGTACAATTTAACCATCAAAAGTATTTTATTGCACAAAACCTTTCTCCTAACCTCTAAATCAGTGGTCTGTAACTGCGACCCGAGGGCTAGATTTGACCCTTTGCTGGCCTTTATCTGGCCCTTGTGGCACTATTCCTCCCACTGACATCAATATAAATCCTGCCACTGACACCAATGATGCGCACTATTCCTCCCACTGATATAAATGATGATGAGGCACTATTCCTCCCAATGACACCAACAAAGGGGCATGATTTCTTTCACTGATACCAATGATGGGGTGCTATTCTTCCCACTGATACCAGTAATGGGATACTATTTCTCCCACGAATGCCAAATATTGCGTACTATTCCTTCCACTAATACCAGTGATGGGGCCTTATCCTCCAACTCATGCCAATGATAGGGAACTGTCCTGCTCTTTACTGACCACCACCCCGATTCAATGTTTATTCTCACTGATGCTGGGCCTGGGACATTTTCTACCCCCACTGGGTCACAATCTGACTCTCTTAAAGTCTGCAGTACAGTAAACTGGCCCTTTGTTTGTAAAGTTTGGAGACCTCTGTGCTAAATGATTGCATTTGCTAAATTTCATGCTGGATTGCTGCACAGATCTGGATTAAGAATGCAAAGCATGCCACGATTCAAGTAAGATTACACATGCCTCTTGTATTAAGACAATATTTGTTTATCCCAGAGTTCAGGGTTAGAAAAAAAAAACCTTTTCAAACTAAGATACTACAATAGAAAAAGAAACATTCTAATTACTTACCCACTTGGTCCCGGTCTTTGACCCTGAGTGAGCTGCCAGTCTGCATTAGGCTGAGCGTGCTGAAAAAGAAACAGAATGGTGTCCTTAATTGGTGTTCTGATTATATACACTCTTGGCACATCATTGCATTTTTTTAAAGATGATCATCATACAATGTTCAGTGCAGCAGATTAAACTGTGTATGCTGTGTATACATACTTACCAACACATGTGCCGGGCTCCAGGATGCTGTTAAGTTTGCCCATGGTCTGCATTTCCTACACCCACTTTTTGGGTGGTTACAATCTAATAATGCCCAATTTACGGGTTGGTTTCACCCAGACCCTGCTGGGACTGCCCACTCACAGCCTCAATCCCCCCAATTGCCCTTGTTGTGTTCCTGCACATGTGCAGTAACTCAAATAAACTGGACGCTGGGATCCTGGAGACACAGGATCAGTGGGGCAGAGGGCCAAGATGTGGGACTGTAGTGACAAATCCAACTGTAACCCCCAGGAGAGTGCCTCAGTGGTCTTTAAAGTGGTGTTAAACCCAAAACCAAAAATGTAATATATTGCTGTTTACCAATCATTAGGTGTGGTGGTTGTATTAGTTCTCTTTTTCTAGGCCTTTTCCTTCTGTTTTCACCTGGTGATCTGGCCAGTAACACACCTGTATGAGAATGCCCCACTCTTGATTAAGCAGCAGAGTGGGCACCTTTGGACAGCAGCATTGTCATTCTGGGAGAAGGAGACTGTTAGATGTATTGGCAGATTTAAACACACTAACTAATTGGAGCCAAACTCCAGCTAACATTTTTAAGCAGTAACAGCAACAGTTTTGTTTTCTTTTGGGGATAAATGTTTTACATAAATAAATAAAAGCTGACCATTGTAAGCACCCTGGCAGTGTTAAAAGGTTTGTGTCAATCCTGTTACAGCTTGTTCTATTGAAAAATGACAGATCACCGGGTGAAAATAAAAGTGAAAAAAGACTAAAAAAGAATATTAATGCTGCCATGACATTTAAGAATTGTAAGCTGCAATACAATAAGTGTTTGCTTATAGGTTTATTACAGTTTATGGGCCCTGTCATTGGGGAATTGAAGTTGGCAGGCCTTTTCTCTGAACATAGGTAAGTCAGGCCCCAGCAGCAATGTCTCAGTAAATTAAAAGGGCTAACAAGAGTGTTTCCCTTTTATAAAATGAATAGTAGGCATCTCATGGGGATGATCTTAGGCAGGGCTTATATTTCTAAAGGTTTACAGTGGGTGACAGGATCATTTGTAACAGTTTTCCGAAAAAAAAAATACTCTAGCATTTCACAGGCGTTATGTATAACCATAATTTATGCATATATTTTTCAGTGCATAAGCAAGAAACATGTTCCTATCTGACACACAGGAGCTTACGATCTAAAGTCTCTGCAATGCTATATATCAGGATAAAGTAATTTTGTCACTTACACCACACATTTATAGTATGAAAGAAATTTAGATTACCCATACGGAACTTCCAAAAAGCCTGTCCTTATGTAAAAGCTAATGGCAGATTCACACTTTACTGATCCATTGTGGTGTGGTAACCCATGTGACTTTGTGAGTTAACGTGTGTTGTGTTAAGACACATGTTCATTATGAATGGGCTGCCGACAAACCACAACGGATCAAAGACAAAACATTAACCCTTTTTTCTATTAACTCAGCTTACTGCAACTTGCAGTATATGCAGGGGCAGACTGACAACTCATGGGCCCCCCGGGCAATAGGGGATCATGGGGCCCCTGTGTCCTTGCCCAAACTCAAAAAAAGCCTATGAAAAAGGTACCAGGGGCATCTCATGGGGCCCCCTACTGACCCCAGGCCCTCGGGCAGTGCCCGAGTTTCCAAATGGTCAGTCCACCCCTGAGTATATGCATTGTGGTGCATCATACATTGCACTCTACTGTAGAGTGTGTTGGGGTGCCATTCACAATGAATGTGCGCCACAACAAACCACAGATAAAGCATGTGTTGCGGGAAAATGCACATTTTATTGTACATTGCTGCAATGCATAAGTGTGAATGGTTCCTCAATAAAAACCATAATAGAGGTCAACAATGCTACCCACTATACCATATTTTGTAACATAAGCTAGTATGTTTATACTATAGCGTATATAGAAAGAACAAAAATCTAAGTGATGCAACAAGAAAGAAATATTCATTTATTATTCAGCATTAGATTAAAAACAGAAAAACAGACTTATGAACTTCTGTATTGTTGTAGAAATCTGTTGAATATGACACATGTGGTTCACTAATTATAATGCATGCTGCTTTACCACAAAAACGCTTTCCAAAAACTCTGAGTTCCGTCATTATCTCACCGCAGACCATGTACCAGCCTCCATCCCTGGAGTGCAGTAATGCATGGAATCTTTACATTTACACAAGCTGACATTACTGCAGTATGATTGATCGCTGCACAAATTTAGAGCGCTTTAAGCTGTTCAAGATATTAATGAGACGCTCCCTGTCTAAATGTGAACGTATGTTAAATAGCAGATCATGTCAGTCTATCTTCCTTAAAGTTATGAAGGAGATTTACTAAAACTGGAGCAGGCAGAATCTGGTGCATCTGTGTATGGTTGCCAATCAACTTCTAACTTCAGCTTGTTCAATTAAGACAAAAAAAAATGGAAGCTGATTGGCTTCTATTCAAAGTTTCATCAGATTTTGCACTGTTCGGTTTTAGTAAATAACTCCCATGGCTATAATGCATAGTCTTAAAGTGGACCTATCATTAAATATCATACTTCCCATGAATCATTAGAGCCCATCTCAGCAGTACTATTTGTGGGCCAAACAAAGCATTATTTTTATGACATAAAAAAAGATGCTACCTGGAGCTCTATCATGTCTCCTACAGCCTAAGCAACAAAGATATGTACTGCAATATGGATGTTTTACATCATTAGAGACTGCAGATAACCAATTGCTTTTAATTAGACAGACCTTATCTGTGAAATGAAAACCTGCTTAGATAAGCTTACTTTTGTAAAAATTGTGCAAAAAAGGTTTCTAAAACAATAAAGTGTCAATCCATCCAAAAGAGATATTTTCATGATAGGTTGAGCTTGGTGAGGTATGGCCAAGCGGTTAGCACTTCCACCTAGCAGCACTAGGGTTGCTGGTTCAAATCCCAATCATGGCACTACCTGCCTGGAGTTTGATGTTCTCCCTGTGCCTGCGTGGGTTTCCTGCCACACTCCAAAGACATGCTGTTAGGTAAATTGGATCCTGTCAAAATCAGCCCTTGTATGTATGAATGTTAGTTAGGGACCTTAGATTGTATGCTCCTTGAGGGCAGGAACTGATGTGTGAATATACAACATATATCTGAAGCACTGTGTAAATTGAAGTCGCTATATAACTACCTGTAATAATAGTAAAAAAAATGTACTAAATATATATATTATATATGCTGAGCTCCTAGTATTCCCTCCAGCCCACGCCCATCCCCTGACTTCTCCATCAAGATCAATAATACAACCATCAGTCCCTCCCCTCATACCAGGGTACTAGGTGTAATCCTAGACTCCCATCTGTTCTTTCAGCCCCAAATCCAATCGCTGTTCAAATCTTGTAGACTTCACCTCCGCAACATCTCCAAGATACGCCCGTTCTTAACTAACTACTAAGCAACTTATTCACTCCCTGGTTATCTCTCGCCTTGACTATTGTAACTCCCTCCTCATTGGCCTACCTCATCACAGGCTATCCCCTCTTCAGTCTATCATGAATGCTGCTGCCAGACTTATCCACCTTACTAACCGTTCTGTATCAGCCACCCCTCTCTGCCAATCCTTCCACTGGCTTCCATTGCCCAATGGATAAAATTCAAAACATTAACAATAACGTATAAAGCCATTTATAACTCTGCCCCAAATTACATCACCAATCTTGTCTCCAAATATCACCCAAACCGTACTCTCCGCTCCTCGCACGACCTCCATCTCTCTAGCTCCCTTGTCTCCTCCTCCCATGCTTGTCTCCAGGACTTCTCCAGAGCTTCCCCCATCCTCTGGAACTCTCTACCCCAATTTATCAGACTATTGGCTACTCTGCTCACTTTTAGCAATCTCTGAAAACCTATCTCTTCAGGGAAGCCTATCCTGCCCTCAGCTAATAATGGAATCTTCTATTCCTCCTACCAGTCCATCCCCCACAGTTACTACCTTTTGTACCACTAGCCCCTCCCTCTTAGATTGTAAGCTCCAAGGAGCAGGGCCCTCCTATCCCTCTTGTATTGAACTGTATTGTTGCTGTATTGTCTCCCGTTATATTGAAACGCTCTAAACAAACTGTTGGCGCTATATAAATCCTGTATAATAATAATATTATATATTTTTTGGATACTCCAATGGTGACATCTGACTGTCATGGTTCTGAAACCTTTTCCTAACAATATAGACATTTTAGGTGTTTCCTCCCATCTTTGCAGATTTCTTTATTTGCATATTTATATATTATTATATTACACTATATATATATATATATATATATATATACTGTAAATATATATATATATATATATTTTTTTTGCTCGCTTTTCATCAAAATGAAAGTTCTACTGCAATGCAATAAAATACATTAGTTAGTCCTTGGGTCCTGAACACATACAAGTAAAAACAATGACACAGGCTGACATTTGGACCGCCCTGTGTTTCTTGGCACCCAAGGTAGAATCAGTACATTGAGCTGAATGACCACATTGAAAGCAGGCTGCAGTACCCCGGTGCTCCTTTGTACAAGTAGTTGAAGTGTTGCCAAGGCTCAGCTAATTTGAAGATCCAGCAAGCTGAGAATACAGTAAAATATTCAATGTAAAATTTTATCACGCCTTCTGATGAAGTAGTTAGCAACTGAAGTTCAGTTACATCACTCCCTCATTGTTCGTATAAAAAGACTGATACTCTAGAACAGTTTGTGGAACATTCAATGGAACGCTTAAGAGGTTTAGAAGATTAATCCTCTTCCATTAGTGTTTCCCGTTGCCTCCTGTGTCTAAAGTGAGCAGGTGACCTAAGCTGATCTCACAAGCTGTAGGGGAAAGGAACTACTTATTCTGTATAAGACACAGCTCTGTCTGAAGCCAGTCTAATTCCTAAGCAATACAATATATTTGGATGAAAAAATCCTATGCACATGCTGGAAAATACAAGCCCCCTGGCACACAGACAATTGGATATTAGTTGTACAAAGAAGTGGCTGTGAGTCACTGTGCAAATGTACATGCTCACAGGTATGCAGCTGTATGGAGGCACAAGGGAGTGTCCACATAAATATACAGTACACAGTTGTGAATACAACCTTGAAATTCTGTGTCCATAATAGGTGTAGTAAAGGTGAAAACGATAACAGCCAATAATAATCCCAATCTTTCCTCACTGTTAGTTGTTAGCAATTATGCGACAATGCTGCATTTACAACAATCTGTTTTATCATATATTGCTCTCTGCTTGTAGTATCATATTAGTGAAATACATAAGTAACTTTCCAATATGCCACTATAAATCTATCTATATAGACCTTCATCAATTCTGCCAAAATGTCCACTAGTCCACTAAGCACTTTTAAATATTTGAAAGCTAGAGGTAATAATAAATGGAATACAATTTTGTTTTTCCCGTACAGAGGAAACAGCTGGAATCTGATATAAGCAGCACCCCTCTTCCTTTCCTACAGTTTCCAAACATGACCAAGCTATGATCTTTCAGACATCTCTGACCAGAAAAAAGGAAATTAAGCGATGCCAACTCCCTAAAGTACTCAATCTAATGGTGTCCTGATTGTCTTGAGTATTGCATTAAGGTCATGTCTTCACCTTGACAGTATGTCCTATGTTTACTACTGGTTCAACAATAGATCCAAGAAGCAATGCTAATGAACACAGGCATTAGTCCATCCATATATTATTATATACTGGGACAGGGATATGAGGACACAAACTACAATAAACCCTACTGTAGATTTTTTTTTTTATAACAGTATAGGAATAAATAGAGACATGGAAAGGCAATCTAAAATCACAGGCACCATAGACCATAGTATCAATATAGGTTTCACAGCATGCACTTCTAATGCCTTCCAAACACTCCCTGAAACCAATAAATATATTTAGCTGAAAGTCTCAGTACACACCCACAGTTGGTGCAAAAAAATTGGTGCAAGTGCCCAGTACACTTTAATGAAGCACAGATGACAATGTAGAAGAGAACCATGATCGACCTTCATGTGTACTATGGATGCCACCAAGCAAATACCGTGGGTTTGATTTACTAAAGGCAATTCAGTTTTTCACTTCACTTGGGGCAAATTCACAGGGGATTTTCCCCAGAGCTTACTGAATGTGGTTCAGTTTCACTTTGCAAATAATACTCAATCACATGCAAGGTAAAAAAATAATAGCATTTTTTCTTGCACATAATTGGAAGATGGAAGTCCACAGGGCTTCTCTTCATTCGCTAAGCTCCGGGATAAATTCCTTTGCAAAGTGCAACTTCCTTTGCAAAGTGAACTGCCTATATGCCTTTAATAAATCAACCCCAATGGATATGTTGACCACAGCTCATCCATCACATTTAAACTAAACACGTGTGAAAATAAACCCAAATGGCAATTTCCTCACCTCAGTGGAATCTCTTAAGCTACTGATGCCTAAAGATTCTGCATTGCTATCCACATCTTTCACCGGAGAAAAGGTTAAAGGCTTCAGAAGAGTAAGATTGATGTTGTCAGATTGAGTAAAGTATGTTCTGTAACACTGACTTCCTGGATTGGAGGGATCCAACCTGATCTCCATGTACTTTAGTGTTCCATCCATATTGAAGCCAAGTGTTGGCTGGAATGTTTGAGGGCTGTCTGTAGAATTTGACTGATGTAAAAACCAACAAGGAGAGTGGCACAAATACAATTCCTTTTTTATAAACTTCACCACCAACAGCACAAACATCATAAGACATGCCAGACTAACGATAACCAAAGAAATTATGAGGTACAATGTTATGTCAGTCCTGTTTGTAGAAAATAAATTATAGTGTGTTGCAGTATTTGATTTGCTGTCCAATTCTACAAGTATTGTAACTGTAAGTGACAAAGATGGCTTGCCATTGTCACTGATAGCCAGCACAAGTTTTTGCAAGGATTCATCAGTTGGTAAGAAAGTTCGAACAGTTCTTATTTCTCCAGAGTGAGCAGATAAATTGAAAAGAAAGTTATCAGAAGATTCCACAAATGAGTATGATAGCCAGGCGTTTTCACCAGAATCTGAGTCCACTGCAGATAGTTTGGTTACCAAGTAACCCACTGGCACAGCCTTTGACAGGTTTACAATGGTAGTTACATTTCCTGTGCACTTAGGATATAACAGATTGGGAGAGTTGTCATTTATATCTATAATAAAGACAAACACAGTTGTATTGGAAGACAGCCTTGGATTACCAGAATCCTCAACTTCGACATTGATTTCTAAGACAGGAGTTTGTTCATAATCAAATGAGCACTGGGCATAAATATCTCCACTTGCTGCGTTAATAGATACAAATGATGAAATAGGCAAACCAAAAAGCTGTTTGTCAACAATAGAATAGGTTAATATTGCATTGGTCCCTTCATCTGGATCACAGGCTGATACTGTATACAGCAAATGACCAGGTTCATTATTTTCAGGAATGTAGGAATTCAAATCATGATTTAAAACCAATGGTGGATTATCATTAGTATCAGAAATATTGACCTTTATAGTTGTTTGTGAAGATAAAGTAGGTGACCCCATGTCCACAGCAGTCAAAATAATCTCATACTGATCAGTCTTTTCTCTGTCAAGAGGCTCATCTACAATTAGAGCATAGTGATCTTTAAATGACTTAATTTCAAAGGGCAAATCTGGTGACACCAAGACATTAACTTCCCCATTTTTCCCAGAATCCATGTCAGTCACAGAGAAAAGTCCAATAGTTGTTCCAACATTTGTATCCTCTGGAATTTGACTCAGCATAGAAGTAAGTAGAATCTCTGGAGAATTATCATTGACATCACCAATCTCTATCTGAAGAAGACAGCTACCTTCCATTTGAGGTGTTCCTTTGTCTTTAGCCTTGATGGTTAACTCATAATATTTAGCACTTTCAAAATCTAACATAGCGTTTGTACTTAAGACCCCTGTGACTGAATTTAACAAAAACAACTGTCTATGGGAGATTGGAGTCCGACTGTCAAAAGCGTATTCTATTTCAGCATTGAGACCTTCGTCCAAGTCAGTTGCATTAAGCTGAACCACTACAGTGTTCAAGGGAACATTCTCTGGTAAGTTGATTTTATAAAAAATCTGACCAAAAACAGGAGCATTATCATTAAAATCAAGAATAATGATAGTAATCTGTGATGTTCCATATTTTGGAGGACTACCACCATCAAAAGCTGTAAGTATAAGACTATGGCTTCCTCTTTCTTCTCTATCTAATGCCTTTTCTATGACCAGCTCTGGAGTAGGTAGACCATCCATGTGACTCCTGATAGACAATGAAAAGTAAAAGCTTGCACTCAAATTATATTGTCTTACCCCATTAACACCTGAATCAAGATCATATGCTTCCTCTAAAGGAACTCTAACACCAGGATAAGCTAGGAACTCGGTGATTTGTATAACCTGCTCTGGTGTTGAGAATGTAGGAGAATTATCATTTATATCTAAAATCTCGGCTTCTAATCGATGGAGTTCTAAAGGACTTTCAAGAACTACTTCACCGACCAATACACAGTGTAACTTAGAACCACACACATTTTCCCGATCTACGGTTTTGGCTAAAGTTAAGTTTCCACTTTGCTGATCTACAGCAAAATACTGACCGCTTCCTGTGGACCTCAGTCTCATACTGCGCTCAAAGACAGTCACTAATGGTATACCCAGGTCTTTTGCTACATTACCAATTAATGTCCCTGCTTCTGCCTCCTCCATCACAGAATAATGAAGAGTTTCTGAGGTTATGTCCCCGGCACAGCACAGAAATAAAATAGCTATTTGCCATTTCCAAGTCTCGGTAGATATCTGGATGTCCATAGCTTAAATACTTTCTCTCCAATGTATATCCATATATCCCGTCAAACACTCCGTTACAAATGTGCATATCCATCTGAACTGTGTTTGAAATATCTGCTGGGTTTACAGTGTAATGTCAGCTGTGCATTCTATTACTAGAGAATGTGGGGAAGCAGATCTCTCGTCTAAGATCTAGGGAGGAGGGAGAAGTTTTACAAGTCACTCTTAGCTTTAAAAATTATCCTGCCACCTTTTCGTGTAGACAGTTATATATTAATTAAATATATGTCTTCATTCAAACGTCTGTTCTATCTAAGTTTTTAGAGCTTTAAACTTTTAAACTTTTTAAAAAATGTTTACAGCCTTCTGGCAAGTATCATATATCGATAACATTACATCAGAGTTGGTATAGTAAAATATACTATTAGAAATAACCTAAATCTGCACAAATCTGTAATGTATTAGGCCAACACAGCAGTCATAGTACATTTGCAGTGTACATCTTTATGTTTAGCCATAGAACCAGTTATGAATATGATGATGCTAGTTAAGTAACCCCTATTTACAAAAGAAAATACTTTTTTTTTTTTTTTACAACATGATGTGTTTTTTTTATAAACTATCTTTTGGCAACCCAACTTTAGCTGTAGAAAGCACATACAGCACTTTCAATAATAAAAAAAATCACAGTAAACATTGTTGCTGGTGAGTGGAAAATATGCTGCCCCCTACTGGAAGACATCAATACAAATCTGAAGGCACAGAGCAGTCCTGATTCTAGGTCAAACTTTCTTAACTTATATACAACATATCAAGTCACCTTGGAAATGTGGGCACCAGCATGTTGTGTGCCCTCCCACCTTTACTTCTTGATCTCTATCATGGAATGTTAAAGCAAATTGGCAATCACAAAATATGTCTGGCAATACTATCATATGTTTTGCATGGTACTGTAACAGTCTACATATTGTACATATAAATATACAAAGTGCTTTAAACATGATAAAGCACCTTTGTATGTACTGTAATAAAAGTGACTTAAATGTGCTATCTATAATAGCTAAGTATACAAAAGACCACTGTAATCTGACACATAAAAAGTACAAATTTATTTCTATCTCAATTGTGTTGGACCTCTCCAAGTAAACTCCCCAGATACTGCATCTTCACTGTCATTGACTAGCTGCTTTAACTGAGGGAAATTCAAAGATTTCATCATATATAAAGTATCTCTATTAAAATCTGTGGAGCAGCCAGTCTTAGAGTGCTGATCATCAACCACAACAGGAACCTCTACGTATCTCAAAGTGCTATTGTAATTCAACTGTAAAGTTTTTTGTGAAGGTGCCATATATTGATTTAGCTCTGGGTCAGCCATTTTGTTCTTCCTTCTGACACATTTCACCAACAAAATAATTAATGTAACAACTGAAACTATACTAAGGGAAACCAGAGCTATGATGAGATACATTGTGATATCAGACTTTTGTTTGGTGTCAGCAAATACATCTTTTGAATGGAGACTTTCTTTAGAAGACCCGGCCTCAGAAGAAATGATTAATGTTGCTGTGGATGACAATGAAGGGTTTCCATTATCCTTGACCATAACACACAGGTTTTGCACAGGTGAATCTGTCTCAAGAAAACTTCGAGCCATTCTAATTTCACCAGTGTGAGGAGCAATTTTAAAAAGAGATAGGTCAGTGGCTTTTGTAATGCTGTAAGTGAGCCAGGCATTGTAACCAGAGTCACCATCCACTGCTACAACTTTGGTTACCAAGGAACCTGTGGGAAGAGATCTGGGCATTAACTGCTGTGCTGGAGCATGTCTTGAGTTTGTCGGGTATAATATTGAAGGATGATTATCATTCTCATCAAGAACGTGAAGATAGACTGTAATGTTAGATGCAAGTTTTGGTATACCAGAATCCTCTGCTCTGATGGTAAACTGTAGAACCTGAGCAAGTTCATAATCAAACGATTGCTGGGCATAAATGTTTCCATTTTGTGTGTCCATGTAAATAAAAGACAATGCAGGGAAACCATTGATAAGGCTGTTAATAATGGAATAGGTGATATGAGCATTTTCTCCTTCGTCCTTGTCAGAAGCAGTGACAGCACAAAGTAATGCCCCTGGTTTGTTGTTTTCTTTGATCTCAACATACATGGATGATCTTTCAAAAGTTGGTGGGTTATCATTTACATCTGAAACAGTTATATTATATACAGTTTGTGCTGTAAGTTGAGGCACTCCCATATCTGTTGCTGTGAGTTGAATGATATATTGACTAGCATGTTCTCGATCCAATAATGAATTTGTGACTAAGGAATAGTGATTTAGAACATTTGTAATAGAAAATGGAAGATCTGGAGATATTTCCAGCTGCACTTCACCATTTTTACCAGTATCTTGGTCTTTTACCCTTAATAGCCCTACAGTGGTCCCAACTGGGCTATCCTCAGGAATGGAAGATACCAAAGAAGAGATAAGAATTTCAGGTGCATTGTCATTCATATCTTCTATATCCACTTGAATAACACAATGCCCTTCCATTGCTGGTACTCCATGATCGAGGGCCTTGACAGAAATTTCATACGAGCGATGTTTTTCGAAATCCATGTGTTCTTTAACACGTATTTCTCCTGTCTGATGATCCAAGCTGAAGACATTGGCAATGTCTTCTGAGGAGATATCCTCAAAGTAATAGCTGATCTCACCATTGACACCTTCATCTTTATCTGTTGCATTCAGTTTTATTACGAGAGAGTTTAATGGTGCATTTTCTCTCACATTTATTTTATAGAAAGTACTGTCAAATACTGGAGCATTGTCATTGTTATCTATTACAATAATAGAAATTAACATAGTCCCAGATCTAGCTGGAGTGCCACCATCAAGGGCAGTCAGGACCAACGTGTGCTCTGCTTGCTGTTCCCTGTCCAAGACTTTCTCTAATACAAGTACTGGAGAAGGCCTATCATTTTTACGATTCTGTACAATTAAAGAAAAATACATATTCTTTTCTAATTGGTAGGAGGTGACAGAGTTGATTCCCACATCTGGATCCTGAGCTCTTTCTAGGGGAAATCTAGAACCAACAGCAGCAAATTCTGTTATTTTTATCGTACGTACTGTGTTTGGAAAAACAGGAGAGTTATCATTTATATCCAAGATCTCTACCTCCAGGCGATACAGTTCCAATGGCTTTACAAGAACAATCTCCACATGCAGAACACAGTCAGGGCTGTTGCCACACAGCTTTTCTCTGTCTATTCGATGCTTTGTTATAAGGGTTCCACTTTCCAGATTCAGTGCAAAATATTGCTGGCTTTGTTCAGTTCCCAGCTGCAGTCCTCGCTCGAAAATCCCTGCTGTGTTTAATCCCAGGTCCCTAGCAACGTTGCCTACTAAACTCCCAGGCTCTGATTCTTCCAGTAAAGTATACTTTAGTTGTGCAGAAGCAAAGTTCATCATACAAACAAAGATTAAACCCGTTACTTGCCAGTGCCAGGAATGGTGGACTCTTTGCTGTTCCATTGTCACAGATTTCAAAGTGTAGAGTGATGAGGTGATAAAGGCCAAGAAGTTAAGAGCGCTACGTAGGAGAGAGTAAAGCAGCTCTGTCTTTGCTAATGTGCTTGGCAGATCTGGTTCCCTGACTGGCTGTCACTTTAGTGTGTTACTAGCAGACTTTGTATTACAGCTTTCATCAGAAGAAATTCTGCTACCATCTAGCGGTGAAAAACAAAATGACAGGGGCAACCGCATACCTTTGTTTCCAGAAGGCAAAAAAAAAAAAAAACAGCAACAACAACAACAAAAACAACACCACCAATAACTACTTTCTCCTCTTTCTAATGATTTTGATATTATAAAAGTCATCAATTTAAATGCTGAGCTTTCTTTGTAGGTACAAAACAATAATAGCATATAATAGACACAACATACTTCAGGGCAATTATACTAGTGACACAATCTCTCCTCCAATATTATGCTTCTGCTGACGCTATATGTGTTCCCACATATACAGATAAACTTTAACATAGCACTGTTTGTTAAAGTTTCAAAAATAATAGCATATTGCCTTATAATCTGGACTTCTATGAAAAGATATAAGAAAAACTAGTAATTACACTGTATATCAGTTTATATTATAATACAGTCACACAAAAGATCAAGATGAAGTAAGTTGGATGGAGGCAACTTTGTCTTATAGTCAACTGAAACATCTTAACATATTTAGGTAGCAGCTTACTTAAATGCTTAATAGTCATCACACAGTATCATTGCAGCAGTACCGTACTGCCAACATAATTCATCTCCTATAAAGATGAATTGATCTGATGCATGCCAGAGTCTGTATTGATGTCCTTGTGGATGTCACGTACAATGGAAATATCTACAAAAACCTCCCTGCGAGATCCCACACTAAAACCAGTTTTAGCCACAAACAAAAAATATGACATTCCTATTAACTGCCAACAGAGATTTGACATTTATGAATACTCCTATGCAATATTCAGAATGTTTGCCAAACCAGTATGCCTGGCAGATTGGAATGAGTAACAGTGTTTTAACGATTTATTCATTCATACTGCATTTATATTTTGCATTATAATTTGAATTGTCTGAAACAAATTTCTACTATTTCTATATATATATAACTTGATATGACAATGTTTGTTTGATTATTAAGGTGTCGCACAAAACACAGTGGGGAAGATTTGCTAAAACTGGTGCAACTGTGCAGAGTAACCAATCAGCTTCTAACATCAGCTTTTTCAATTAAGCTTTGAAAATAAAACCTGGAAGCTGATTGGTTACTATACAGAGCTTGGCCAGATTCTCTGTGCTCTAGGTTTAGTAACTTTCCCCCATTATATGATTTTTTTATATCACTTAGTCATTGATTAGATCAATCATTATGACAATTACTGTAGTTACAGTCAAGTGAAGTCAGATAGTTGACATGAGTGGAAGGTAAGCACATGAGCCTCATTAGAATAGGCAAACTATAAATCATCTTTAACTGCCAAACCAATCAAATCATCTTTAATACCCAAACCATCTAAAGCATTCCTATTCCAATGATACCCTGAGGCTGATTTACTAAAGGTGTGAAGATTCAATTCAATTATCCAATCAAGTGCAGAGGAAATAAACAGGAGTTTCCACTTTTCAAAAAACCTTTCCATACGTGCTAAATCCTATTAGCAGCTGCTGGCATAATAATTTCATCATATATGTATAACAAGAGTCTTATTCTACTCAAATGCCAACTCTCACAGATCTCCAAGCTAAGAAGGGGAATTCCTGGAGATTTATGAGTGGTATTTGAATTGAATAAAACAGGAATTTGCTTTTCGCTTATTTGGATAACTGCAGTGAAAATGTCCCTCTTTTGTTGGGGCAACTTAGTAAATCATCCTTTATGTTTGTCAGGGCGCAACATGGTATGTGAAATAAGGGGAAATTTCTCCAGCAGGGTTGAGGACAGCATGAAAACCCTAAAAGAGGCTCTTATGCTTCTCTTTCTTTACTAGAGCAAACAGTTGTTTTTCTATTTGCTTTGAAATCGTTATTTAAATGTTTTAATTAATCTCCTTATTTGGATAATTGCAGTGAAAATGTCCCTCTTTTGTTGGGCCAACTTAGTAAATCATCCTTTATGTTTGTCAGGGCGCAACATGGTATGTGAAATAAGGGGAAATTTCTCCAGCAGGGTTGAGGACAGCATGAAAACCCTGTAAGAGGCTGTTATGCTTCTCTTTCTTTACTAGACCAAACAGTTGTTTTTCTATTTTCTTTGAAATCGTTATTTAAATGTTTAAATTAATTCACTTATTTGGATAATTGCAGTGAAAATGTCCCTCTTTTGTTGGGCCAACTTAGTAAACCGTCCTTTATGTTTGTCAGGGTGCAACATGGTATGTGAAATAAGGGGACATTTCTCCAGCAGGGTTGAGGACAGCATGAAAACCTTATAAGAGGCTCTTATGCTTCTCTTTCTTTACTAGAGCAAACAGTTGTTTTTCTATTTGCTTTGAAATCGTTATTTAAATATTTCAGTTCATTTGACTTGCATGAATAAATTTCCCTTTGTTCATACAATGTGCAATTCATGAAATATCACATCTGATATAAGCCTTGTTTTTTTTACCTGTATAAACAAACATACAATGAAACATATAATTAAGCACACAGAAAAACAAAATTATTATAGACCTAATGTATCATAATTTATCTAGATTGATGCGTAAATGGAAATTATTTTAAGCACATGAAGTTCAATAAATAATGCAATATTGCACTTCAGTTGCTGTGTGCATTATTGAACTGTGTATACCATCCCCCTTCCCGGCACATAAACAACCAGATGTGACCTTGTACCATTAGTAGCTCCAGTAAGTCTGATCACACAGATGACTATCAAAAAGAGATCAGCTCTGTCAGCATAAAACTGCCCTAGGCAACTCCAGAAATGTTCTCAGCTTAGTTCTCAAATGGACAAACATTAACAAATTTAAGAACAAATCAGTCTAGTTTGCCACTAGAAAACGTAGACATATACTGAGTGGTGCTAAGGGTAACAAACCAACAAGAAGAAGGGTGTCATTAACAAAGGTTTGGTTGGCTGCTGATATTTTCCAGTGTGCTGAAGGATTTCTAAAACAGAACTTTAAACTTACACTGGGGAAAGGGAATGATGTTTTGCACACTTTAGATTTTTTTAAAATTAAAACTGGAAAGTGCGAAATCTGGTGCAGCTATGCAAAGAAACCAATCAGTTTCCAGGTTTTATTGCCAAAACTTAACTGAACAAGCTGAAGTTATTATTATAGGTACTTATATAGCGCCATCAATTCACGCAGCACTCTACATATATATATTGTACATTCACATCAGTCTCTGTTCTCAAGGAGCGTACATTCTAAGGTCCCTAACTCATTTTCATATATACACATACTAGGGTCAACTTAGACAGGAGCCAATTAACTTACCAGCATGTCTTTAGAATGTGGGAGGAAACCGGAGTACCCGGAGGAAACCCACACAGGCACAGGGAGAACATGCAAAGTCCAGGTGGATAGTGCCATGGTTGGGATTAAAACCGATCACCCTAGTATTGCCAGGTGGAAGTGCTAACCATTTAGCCACTGTGCTGCCCCATTAGGAGCTGATTGCTCAGCTGCACCACATTCTGAGTGCACCAGTTTTAGTAAATCTCCCCCTGTGTGTCAATGAAACTATTGTCACAGTGTCATTTTCATGGCCACCAGGTATACTCTTTGGGTTCATTAACACCAGATGCAGTCATATGTGTTTTTAATTGCAGGACACAAACATATATGAGAAAAATGAATGTATTTCAATGAGCCTAGCTTACACAAAATTATAGAGCTTTCATGTGCATAAGAAAAAAAAAACCTAGCAAGCTGCATTTTTGTGCACGTAAACGGACAGAAAGACACATAAACCTACATAAATGAATTGCAAATGCATATAAATGAAACTCCGTACAAAAAAAAGAGAGAGGCCTAGAAATGCACTGCAAATGTGCCGCAAATGCATATAGAGTACATGCACATAGATAAACAGTAACACACACACATATACAAATTAATGAGTCCAGAAGAAAAAAACAAGAATGTGATAAATACCCCATTTTCTCATACTTTAGAGCAGACAGTATGTTGTTTTTTACTCTTAAGAAGGCCACATACAGAACAAATGTCTTTCCTGCAAAGAAATTCACTTGATTCCCTCCCACCAAGCCAGGAATGGGGGGTGGGAGAATTGTATGTAAAATCCAGCAGGCTGGTTGTACCCAAGTTGATCAATTGATCAACCTGGGTACATCCAACGTGCCCACACATGGTTCGAATCTCATCCGGTTCCTGGCTGGCTTTATACTTTTTATGTACACCTTTAGTTTCTACTTATTTTAAATACTTATATAACATAGACATACTTTTCAGCATTTATGAACTACATGCATACGTTCACATTAGTTGATGAGGTGGCAATGTACTGTTTGAACCACATTTACAATTAGACCCAAGTGCACTATGGCCAGTGTTTGGTTTGTGGGAGAAAACTGTACCCCTTAGAAAACATCTATGCAGGCAAAGGGAGAATATGCAAACTCTCTTTGCACCTGGTTGGGATTGGGAATCACCGTTCCCAGGGCCACTGCTCTGTCCACTCTGAAGCTGGCCATAGATGATTTTTTTTTTTTTTTTAAAAGAGGGATTCTTTTCTGTGTTACTGTATTTTGACAGCAGGGCTCCTCTGCTGTCATAATACACTGATCAGTGCTGCAGCCTATTGGCTGCAGCTACTGACCTAATGAGAATTTTACAACAGTCCCATTTGACAGAAGTCGATTGTGAGAGTGACCATAGATCAGTGGTCTCCAAACTGCAGCCCGGGGGCCAGATGTGGCCCTTTGCTTGCTATTTTCTGGCACTTGG